AAAAATCATATTCAAGTAGTCCACGCTTATCATACTGTTATAATGGTTCTTCAAATTTGCTTGAAGTGAAGTCTAGATCAATCTGGTCTAGTCTGGACTAGGCTGGGATAAGTTCGGGCTAAGCTAAGCCATACCAAGGAGCCGGGCTAGTTATATGGTGATGATAAGAGATGGTCATTGAAAGTGACCCTCACTAATATTCCTACACGTGGGGTTAGTGATATTCACGATTTTAAAGCCAAGAAAAACGGGGACGATGCCTGTTATATCAATGACCATGAAGAACAGTGAAGAACAGTGAAAGTGGCAAATAAGACTAACCTACCCGACGACACGCATGCATAGAGCACTCGGGCATGCGCCGGATCGTCGTTCATTACGTCGAGCCCTCCAATTTCAGCTTCCAAAGGCTTGTTCGCCAGGATTTTACTGGAATTTAAATATTCAGGTGATAAGCTGCCAGTAAACAGTATCGCTTATTTTCTCAAAAAAATTATGGCATTTTCTGCCAAACGCGCACATGCTAGTACCAGTTTATCACCAAAACGAATGAACAAACCACAGAGGACTGATTGTCTCATTGACTAGATGGAATTCTTGTCCTTTGGCACGAGAGCATTGTTAATTCTCATTAAACCATTCCCATCACATTTAGGCATATATCTCGCACTACCCCTGCCCAAGTACCTTCGTACCTCATCACAGTTTGGGTGCCAAAATATACAAAACAAAGCCAAGGAAAAGTGAGAATACAGATTTTTACCTCATACAGCCCGTGATCGCTGCATCCACAGTCTTTTTTGCCTCTTCTACTTCTTCCTCATCCAGCAGTGTGAGCATCTTTAGTGTTAGATGCAACCTGCTTGGTTTCTGGAATACGGCAGAAAGTTTGCACGACTCCTGCAAAAGATGTACAGTAAAAGCAGCAAAGCAGTTATAAATGAGATTATGAGTTACCGCTGAATCGTGGCCTATCCATTTTTCGAGAACAAGAAATGGTCATCAAACTATAAATTTCACTCATAACTCTACTTCTGCCATGAGAATGAGTTAGTTCTGTGCATATGGAGCAAATTGGTTCTCTGTCCGTAATTTTAAACAGTATTTCGACCGGTTATGGCTTCTCCATCCTTCTCTCCTCCCTCCGGTCCTCTCTGCCCAAAAAACTAATCTAGTATACCTCATCTCACTATGCTGCATTGCCTTGTGGCTCCGGTTTATGTTCTGGAAAGATTATCAGCTTAGATACTTGCAGTTTGGCAAGATTTTAGCCGTACTGAGATATCCTTAGCAAGTGTTGAGCAGTACCATTTCATTTCAAACGCTGCCACCCTCAGATTATGACTAAAAAAAAATAATTTGGAAAAAATATGATTTCGAAAAAACACTACCGGCAGTTCGTTATCCCGCTGCACAGTGCGACAAAAGCCGCAGAACCGCCTCCTAATATTTAAGCCGGCGCTGTGCCGCACTTCACGCAGCAACATTTTA